ATTCACCTGCCCCCCACGCCGATGCTGAAGTCGGTGCGCAAGGCAGCCGCCCAGCTGGCTGAGGCAACCAGCAGCGTAGCAGCGACCACATTGACAGCCACCGCCACGGACACCGCGACAACAACAACAACCACAGCGATGCCCATCAGCAGCGTGATCATTGTGGAGCCATTGCCACCACCCACCGCCGCGGCCGCCGCTGACAATGGCAGCGCACACCAACAAAGTACAAATGGGGAGTCGGCGGCGACACAGAAGCTGTCGCCCAACTCACCCAACACATCATCTAGTTCATGCAGCACCTCGCCCATATCCAGTGCAACGAGCAGCAGCAGCAGCAGTGGGGCCTCCACCGATCTAATAGACAGCTCCGGCAGTGCGGAGCCAGCGGCAATAGTTGCTGCCAAGAGCTGCCCCATTGCTGTGTTTGGCGACAATGATATCACACTGACCAAAGACTCGGCAGCCGGTGCAGCACTCTCGGCCGCAGCATCAATTGGCAGTGAGCTGGACTCCACAGGGACAGCAACAGCAAGGGGTCAACAGCAACAGCAGCAACAACAGCAACCGGCGACACGTGCACGCAAGTCGTCTTGGATTGCCAATCCAACCACTGTGGACAAGCTGCTCACCCTGTTCAATCCGAGCACCATGTTCCAGCGCAGCTCATCACCGGAATCAAAGCCAGCGGCAGCACCGGCCTCAGCTATGGCTCCACTCACAAACAACGCACAGAGTTAGTCAAAAATCTTTTCAATTTCATTTAATTCTAAAATAGTTGCATTAGATTATGTGAGGAAAATATTTTGTAAATTTGTCCGTTTTCCTCAAGATTTTTAGCCACTTGCTGTTAGAGAATTTTTGATGCAGGGAATACTTTATGGCCTAAAGACAATGTATTAAGACTTGGTATACAACATTTTAAACAGTGCGATGTGTCAAACGATAAAATTGAATTTTATCTAGTGTAAAAAATTGTGGAATATGATTGATAGGTTATATTTAACATTAATGCCGATTATATAGTATATTTAATGTATAGAATATTATAGTTGTTAGTGCATTATGGTTCACATGAACCTTATGGATTCAACAAAATAAAATTAGTCTTACATATTCAACATATAAATTGTGATCTAGTGATAGTCGCTGAAGAGATTTCACTCTAACTAACTATGCAGGCATGTTTCCACATATATCCTTACTTTATGTTACAAGCGTTCTTAGGGTTATTTCTACGCTAAGTATATTCAATGTGTGGGTGTTTTCTATTCCATTTGTTAGCTTACACAAATGCCTAAACTTAGTTAGAGCCTATCTAAAGTTTAATGGCTTAGAAAATAAAATTAATTCAGTTAAGTTAACCACAGTAGAATAGACGACGCAGATTATGCTTTCTTGGGCACTCGTAGAATAAATATAACAAATAAATATTAAAAAGTACATATGAATGTTAGAATATTAGAAGATTTAACACTTCAATAGATGTTGTTAACTAATGCAACTAAATTGATGTGCTGAAATAGTAGACATATAGAACTTACATGTTATACCCTGGTAAAGCAATCGCACATACAATAACATAAAAACATCAACCCATCATTTCATGTGTATAATAGAATTTAACATCCTTCTCATGCCTGCATTCCATATATCTAATTTCTAATGCTCTCTTGCAGATACAACAACAAACACAACAATGGGTAACAGTGGCGACGTAAATGTAACGTTTATGGCCACACGGAAGACAACGCCGCCAGCGAGAAGCAATGGCTGCAGCAGCAGTAATACGTCAGCGGCAGGAGGCGCAGCAGGGCAGGGCGCCGGGTCGGGCGTGGCGGGAGCATTTGGCTTGGAGACGAGCGGTGGCGGTAGCTCGTTCCTGGACACGGCGTCGCGTCAGCTGCGCGACTTGAGGAAGCAAGTGTTCCGGCCAAACCTCTCGTTCAATATTGGCAATGATGGCGCAAGCAGTGCAGGGCAACTGGATGTCAATCCCAGTGCAGCTGCCACGACGATATCGCCGATGCTGAGCAATGTTGCCGAGTCGCCGTCGCCACCCGAACGCAATGCAGTGCACATGCCGTTGAGCTTGAAGCGTGAGCTCAAGGAGAACATCTCGCCGGAGCATACCATCAACGAGGAGACGCTGCACTCGCTGCAGAAGCTGTCGCGTGTCGAGGATATGACTCTGAAGGCGGAGGCTGCCGCCGAGCTGGGCGACATTGAGATTGTGATGCACAGCGAGCTGGCGGACATGCCAGAGGCGGAGCAACAGCCCCAGCAGCAGCAGCAACAGCAGCAGCCACAACAACAACAACAGCAGCAGGAGGATCTGGGGGCAGGGCTGGGTCATTAAATACTGAGCCCAAATGGAGGCAACAAAAATGACGTGTGCAATTTGACAATGTTGAGCAGGAAAAGCAGCGGATCAGCAAACACCCACCTCAGCATTCCCCCTGTCTCTATGTCCCTATGTCCCACTGTCCCACTGTCCCTTTGTCCCTCTCTCTAAAAAATAACTTTATCTCTCTAAATCTGTTTGTCTCTGTAGCCCACCCTATGTCAAGACACTGAACAGCAGAGGGCATATTTCTATGTCCTTTTGCCTCTCCTCAGTCCAACCACACATACACACACACACACACAAAACTGTTAACAATAAGAATCAACAAAAAGTACACAAGTTTTAAACATAACTTTGTTTTATTTTACTATTTTACTATACAAATACACATACACACACATACACGTATATATATGTGTATATATATATATATCTATACATATATCTATATATATTTTTTTTGGTTAAATTCTTTTTAAGTTTTATATACGTATATACATAATTATACAAAACAAAATATATATACAATATATTTTAACTATGATATCAAATGGAAAGTGAAAAATGCAAACGCGAAAAGAAAAGAAAAGAAATGAAATATGAAACAACTACTTATATATGTATGTATAAATTAGGCCAGATAAATACACAACTATATGAATATATATTATATATTTCAAATGTTTCGGGCAAACTTAAATTGATTGACGCTTGAAAAGTTGTACAAGATTATTTTAATTGTTAATTTTTTGTACTTATCTAAAAGATGATTATCGAAAAGATTGTAATGCATACTTAAGTTCAAACTGGAACACCAATTCATTACTTACTAGAGCCTATATATACTTATACCTTACGCGTAAATAACAAGACTTTTGTTGTTCGCTTTGCCGCAGGCTGCACTAAAATAATTCACATTTTATTGTGCAATGCGTAAATGCTTTATTTAAGAAAACAATAAGAACGAAACGAAAGAGTTTGCTCGAAGAAGAATATTATAATTGAATGATAAACCCACCAGTCAATCTGTAGGCAATGTTAAGTTCAAATGACATCGTACATTCTTACACACAAACATATATATAATTCACAAATATATAACAAAAACAAAAACAAACGAAAAACCCAAAATAAATCCAATTGATCTCATTATGTGATATTTGTCGTAGTGCCCAAAGCGTTCACTGTATCCATGTTAAACCAAGCATACGAATTAAGTACGCTCTAAGCGAACAGAACCCAAGGAAAAGCAACCGATTTTCATTTCGTTTTCTTAAATATTATATGATAAAGCATATTTCACAAATTATACAATAAAATGTAGTCCAAGTGCAGTCTGTTGCAAAGCAGATGAAGTACAACTTTTCTAGCTGTCAATAAAAAAAAAATCTATAAAAAAAAAAAACTTAACACCGAATAAAATATTCATACATAATTAGAATGATATATATAAAGAAAAAAGATCTTGTAAATACTGAAAATCGTGTTAGATGATGCCCCAAATTTAAAGTAAACAAGTAAACAAATAAATTCTTTAGTTTTTTTTTTTTTATATATTTGTTGTTAATGTTGCGTAGTTTTTTGTTTTTGTTTTCATTTTGATCTGTTTATTGTTTAACTTTCATTCGTACTTAATTTACAAATTATATTAATTATTCCTTCTCGGTGCTCATCGGCCACCTACGGACACTCTAAATTAACGAATTAATTAATTGTTTTCTGTTTTGATTTCATTGATTTCCTAAGAAACTTAAGTCTAATTTCTAGATCAACCATTCTGAAAATGAATACACTTTGATTGGCTAAATAGTTGTGCATACATTTTTTGTATAATTTAAGATCATATTTAGTGAAACCAAGAGAAACTACTAAAAAAGATTACTGAATAAACTTTTGAAAGTTAAAATGAAGTCAACAGAAATGTGTTTTTTCTTGTGGGAGTTTGGGATGACAATGCATTATAGTGAACAAAATATATTGTTAAAGGAATTTAATAATAATAAGAGCGCCCTGTTCGAGAGTGCTCGACAAAAGATACCCTGGCGTGCAGTGCTGGGAGTCAAAAGATGAATCGTATAAATCTTTCTAATTATATGGATAACAAAGCTTACTTTCGAAATTGTAAGATGTTGCACTATATCTTAATATTTCAGCCAATCATATATACTCATATCCAACTAAATTTAGGCAACAATTGAGCACTCAAAATTTGCGAAGAATCCTAATTATTTGGCAATTGCTTTATAATTAGAATAAATTAACCAAAATTTGTATTTTATGATAAATGTCTCATTTCTGCATTATTTTTATGGCCGAATAAATTTCTTTTAAATAATTCATTTTCGAATTTTTGGCGAGCTCTTCAAATAATACTTGCTGCCTCTTCTGTACACATTTAGATATTTTTAAATTAGAATCAAATTAAATATCTTGACAACTGTTGATATGTGAACCAAATGGAAGAGCGGGAAGCGTGAAGCATAAAATTTCATTCATAAAGTTTGCGCCAACTGCAGCGAATGTGTATATACATATGTATGTGTGTGTGTTAATGGTGTCGCTTTTGGCTAGCTAACAGAGCTCTGTTAAGTCCTGCGCTGTTAAGCGACGAGCACCAGGAAACGTCTGAGTCAGTGACTGCGGCTGTGGCTGACGCTGAGACTGCAGCTGCGGCTGAGCTCTGGCTTGGCGCAATTCAAATCTGTGCGTTCAGTTGCAGTTGGCGCTTCGTTCGATGCGGATCGCAGCAGTCGCGAGTTCCAGTGAATTATCTCTTGAAGTTATCTAAATCCAGATTGAAGATGTCCACATCTCAGGCTGTTGCTAAGGACTTGAGTAGTATGTCAACCATTTGACTATGAGTAAGCTAAAACATAGCAATGGGAATAAGAACAATAATGGCTATTCTTGATCCTTGGAGGAGTCACGCTCTGGCAGGATGCTGCATCGCCAAGAGGGCGTTCTTTTGGTTCTGCTGGGACGGCGCATTGCAGGGCAAGTGAGGGGGTCAGTTCGGGAGGAGATGGTGGATATTGTCTCAGAAATTCTCTTTTTGTTCCGTGCTTAATTTATTTAATAGCTCTGTCCGCCCACATTCATTTCTGCTTTAATATTGTTCTTTTAGAAAGATAATCAAGATTCTTGTTAAATGAACAAACAATTTGTTTCAATTTGTGTGTTGTTGTTTGTATGTGTGCGTGCGTGTGAATGTATTGGTTTGAACGGTGGCACGTGACCAAATATATTAAACTGTTGACATGGCATTAAAATAAATCATGAACAAGAATTTTGGATTATAGCATCTCTGGATTCTCTGCGGTCTGCTCTTGCTGTTGTGCGATCGAACGAGATCATAGTGTGTTGGGTTGCCCTGGGAATGTTTGGAACGTCGATAAATTCTTGAAATTGAAATATTGGTGTCTTAGTGGATTAATGCACTTTTTATTCTTTAAATGAATATAAAAAAATTCAAGTATATGTTTGATTAATAAAAAGAGTTTTGAATAAAACATTTTATTGTACAAAAAAAAAAAAAAAATTAAATAAATAAAATAATAATAATAATAAATAAAATAAAAAAGTAAAGAAATAAAAATTTAATTTCAAATTATGTTCATTTATTTATTATATTTAAAATATTTTTCATTTATTTATTTATTTATTTATTTTTTTTTTTTGGTTTTATTCTTTATGAATGTATATTATTTCAAATTCAATGTTTAGTTTCCTGTTTTTAAGTAAGGCTTAACATATTTTCCATTTACTTTTATAATTATTGAATTTATTTTAATCTATCATATTGCCCATACGATAAAATTCTATAGGAAATATGTCTTAAAAAAAGAAATGTTTGTGTATATATGTTTATGCATATGTTTAAGTATATGTTTATGTTGTTAAATATATATATAGAGAGAAATATATAGGAACACTAAAATCTTATAAGTTTCTGTGGTTAACCATTGTCGCCTTGATGAAAATTTTAAAATTTTCCTTTGATGATTTCATCGTTTAGCTTAGACAGTAAACAAGCTGAAAATCTATGCAGTTGCTACAAAGAATTTTTTTATGTTCCAAGTCTAAACCAAATGTTAACTTTTTAATAATTTATTCATAAATCTAGTTTTCAAACAGCAATATAAAAAAAAAAAATAAAATAAAATAAAATAAAATAAAATTTAAAAAATAAATAAATAAAAATAATAATAATAATAATAAAATAAATAAAAATAAATAAAAAAAGTTATCAACTTAAATAATTTATATAAACCTAATTTAAAAAATATTTGTAAATTAAAATACTTCCTATTTAACTATATTAAGTGTATTATTTATTAAAAATTTTTTAACAATATATTTTTTCATTAAATTTAAATGAGGCTCTCTAAAAAATAATGCAACTGAAATTGAAAAATTATTTATAGTTTTTGTATTACTTGGTAATACGATTTGACGCTTGGACTGTGTGAAATGTTGTGAAATATTCAAAAGGTACGCAAACGCTTCTGGATTATACAATTTATTTTTGTTAATTAACCGCAAATTTAGCCACCAACTGTCAGCGGCCAAATTAGAAACTTTCGACATATGTACATGTACCGAGAGTGTGGCTATATTTATACGATATATTTCAACACAAATATTCAAAAACAATCGAGCAAAGTATCTGCCAGGTACACACAGACTGTGTGCGTGAGTGTGAGTATAAGTGCACTCATTGCCATGTTACATACATAGACACCCACACACACACATACGTAGCCCCAGCTACATACAAGTGCTTTCCAAAGTGCTTCACGTTTTGTCATAAATAATAAAAATCAAATTGCCTTTGGCTATTGCCAAAAATGCCGCACAGAAACCAAACCAATTCGTCAGAAGGTTATATAGAGCATATACACACCCACCCACTCACACACTCACACACACTAAGGCCGCCTGCAACACCGCACGATTCCCGCTCGACCTGTCCACTGGGCTTGGTGCACGTCCAACAATTCTGATGTCCATTTGCCAGAGCTGAAATGCCTGTTTGTTTATTTTAACGCAAAAATCTAAAACCACATCAACATTTTTTTGCGTTGTTGTAGTTGTTGTTATTTTCTGTTCTTTTTTTTTTTTCTCTTCTGAAAACAATTTACGCGCCCGAAGGAGAGGTAACTATGGCGGTAGAGCGCGGAGCTTCGCCATCAACATCGGCATCGTCATCGACATCTGGCCCACTGCTCATGATCATTTGGACAAAAATTGCTATAAAGTACTAAAAATACAATTACCGTGAGAAATCTGCGCTGATTTTGTGACTGATTGTGAGGACGTTTATAGCCGATTTTTAGTGACTGCGACTGGGGCGACTGGGGGCGATCTTAGGGGCAAGCTCTGCGCCGCCTTTTCGGCTCGACATTGTAGAATTTTATACGAGTTCATAAATGCTGCAAACTGTAAGATGAGTATATTTGCATTGAACCATAACTGTATTGATAAGTATAAGATAAGATATTCTATAAATTGTCAAACATATGGAAAGTAGTAGAGATGACAGATTATAATTATTACAAAGAAGATTACTGTTAATTCTTCAGTAGTGATCAGTGATCAGCTGTTTGTTTTTTATTATTACAGATACTTCAATAAATAATTCATATTAGTCTATTTTTTAAAAGAGGAGTAAAGTACGGCATTTTTGGATTAGTTAAAGCTATGATTCCTTGAGATAAATCCTGTTCATCTTCCTTGAAGACCTTTAAGATTTGGGAAGAGCTCGGGGCTGACCCAAAAGTCAATATCATCAAGACCAGCCTGGCATAATAATTGTATAAAAGCTCGATCTATTACTAATGCGATTCAGTAAAGCCCCTAATACACTTTGAGCGAGTATTGGGCAATCGAATATGCTCGCAATTGCAGCATATTTACTTGTTTTTCGTTCGTTTTCGCTGCATTTTGTTTGATTTTTCCGGCAATCGCTGATCGTGGTTGAGTTGTAGATGACGTCGCCATCCGTGGTGGCAGTGGGCGACCTCAGTCTGACCGATCGCGAGATGGAGAGATCGAGCGACCAACCTGGTCGTGCATCACTTTGATCTGGTCGAATGTCTGGCCAGCCTCCGCCAGCACATTCCAATAGTTCTATGCATGTGGCGAACGCTTTTGGCTATATTTTTCGGTCAGCATCAATAAAGCGTTGCGGCCAAGCGCCTAACAAACAACAATAACCTCCCCCTCCAACTTGAAGGATGGCCAAATGGCTGAGGTGTGAGTAAGTGTAAGAGTGTATGTGAGTGTGTGTGTGTGTGTGAGAGTGTGTATGTGTGTGAGTGCGGGTGGGGTTGAATTGTGCGCTCTGCTGTGCGCTCAGCGTGCTGCGTGCTGATGACGTAGTCACTTAGCAGAATTTTTTTTTTTTTTTTGTTTATAAATAATGATCTTGGCCAGACGAACGGATTAGTGCACGTTCGCGGTCCAACGCAGCAGCAACTCGTTGATGTACAAAGTCAGTTGGCCAAATACCACTCGCATTCGGTATACCCCACATTCATAGTCGCATCGCTCATCCAAACGGAACAGACAGCAGAAACCGGCAGCGGAATAATATTAAAATGGTACGAATCGCCGACGGCCATCGGCTATTATATCATATAATGAAAATATTTTGCGAACTTTGTGTGCGTTATTAGGAGGACGATGAGAAAATGGACATTATGCGCAAGGCATTCCAGATGTTTGACACCCAGAAGACGGGCTTCATCGAAACGCTTCGACTGAAGACCATCCTGAATAGCATGGGCCAGATGTTCGAGGAGAGCGAACTGCAGGATCTGGTCGATGAGAACGATCCGGAGGATACGGGCAAGGTGAACTTCGATGGCTTCTGCAACATTGCGGCCCATTTCCTTGAGGAGGAGGACGCCGAGGCCATACAGAAGGAGCTGAAAGAGGCATTTCGCTTGTACGATCGCGAGGGTAACGGTTACATAACCACATCCACACTCAAAGAGATTCTAGCCGCCCTCGATGACAAGCTATCATCCAGCGATCTCGATGGCATCATTGCCGAAATTGATACCGACGGCTCGGGAACTGTTGATTTTGATGGTAATTCGGATAATGGAACTTAACTCTGATTAGCTTATAACTACATCGATCGATTCTACTTGCAGAGTTCATGGAAATGATGACGGGCGACTAGACCTTCCATTTCATTCTGCCCCATTCAAGAGAAAGACAACGAAATGTCAAGTTTAAGAGCTGCTTTCTTCTTCGTCAACTTTGCTGAGAATAGCTTTTTATTATTTGTAAATAAATTAACTAAAGATTTTAGTTATTCTGGCTCATCAGTGCGTCGTACAGTGGAATTAAAACAAATATTATTGAAATTTTCTATGAAGTTTATCTTAAAGTAATCGCAGAATTAAATCATACAAAGAATATCGGATAATTATAGACAAATTTAGATATGACACGGGCCTCAATCCCAAGTAAACCAGAATGGCTTTCTAGATTTTGGGCTAGCTCAGAAATGTTCAGCGTGATGTGAATATAAACGAATTTGGAATATTAAAATAAATATTTTATCGATATATTATTATTCTCTAGTTTACAAAAGGCATAAGTAACTTGACGAATATTAAAAAAAAAAATTATACTTAAGAATATATTAATAGAAATTTCTTGGTAGGTGCCAAAGTATTTAGACTATGTTTTTCAAATTATACATATTTTATACTAAATATACTCAGATCCATTATATTTTTCGTCTGGTGATGGGTATAAAACAAGGTATCCTTCAAAATATACAATTGAATTTTTATTTTATTATTTAAAGTTTCAAAAAAATAAAAATAAAAATAAATAAAAATAAATAAATAAATAAATATAATTAAAACAAATCTAAAAAATCTAGAATATGATAAATCTCTTTAAAATTTGGGTTATTATTTTTGTTTAAGTGAAATTTATCAAAAAACGAAAGAATTTTTGAGAAAAATAAATGTTTATATAATGCTGAATATCCGCGTTTACTTAATACTATTAAAGCTTTTTCGTTTCATTGGAATTTTTAGGTTTATATGTTTAATATTATTTTTTGCTTTGATATCTGCAAATTCTACACATTTAGAGGTGATTCAACACTCTTTAGGACTTAATCTGTTCACGATATTATTATTAGAATACTTTTGTCAATTTTGACTAATACCTGTCTTATATGCATATCTTTGTATAGGAAGTTTTAACTGTAGCAAATAGTAAGAATCCATAAATAGAAATATACGTACTCAAGAATTTAACAGTAATTCTCACAGAATTATCTTGTTTTAGCCGAATTTTTAAATACAAAATCGATGTTAAGTAGCACTTAAGCCAAATGAACAAATTTCAGTCATTCGTAGCGGATATGAAACAAAAATAATATATTTTACAAATACTTGGCGAGCTCTTCAAATAGTATTTGCCGCCTGTGCCGCCACATTAAGATATTTTTAAATTAGAATCAAATTAAATGTCTTGACAACTGTTGATATGCGAACCACATGGACAGGGGGGAGCGTCAGGCAATGGGTGGCAAGGGTAAGCGGCGTAAAATTTCATTCATAAAGTTTGTTTACGCCAACAGATGTGGGTGGCTATGTGTAAGTGAGTATGTGTGGATGTGAATGGGGTTGCTTTTGGCTAGCTAACAGAGCTCTGTTAAGTCCTGCGCTGTTAAGCGGCGAGCATCAGGAAACGGCTGAGGCTGAGGCTGCGGCTGCGACTGAGCTCTGGCTTGGCGCAATTCAAATCTGTGCGTTCAGTTGCAGTTGGCGCTTCGTTCGATGCGGATCGCAGCAGTCGCGAGTTCCAGTGAATTATCTCTTGAAGTTATCAAATCTAAATCCGAACAGAAGATGTCCACATCTCAGGCTGTTGATGAGGACTCCAGCAATAAGTCAACCATTTGCACATTGGACTCGAGTGTGCCAAAGCTCGGGAATGGCAGTGGCAGTGGCATGAATAATAACAATAGTGCTCGGTCTAGCCGCAGCTCCACGGGCACAGACTCCACATGCCTGGAGGAGCAACGCTTTGGCTGGCTACGATTCCGTCCGCAGTGGCTGCAGTGCTTCTGCACCGCCAAGTGGGCGCTCTTCTGGCTCTGCTGGGGCGGCGCTTTGCAGGGTAAGTAATGGAGTGAATGAGGGGATTGTGGGTAGGCGGCCGACATTTGGCACACAAATTCTCATTGTGGTCCGCGCTTAATTCATTTAATAGCTCCGTCTCGCTGATCCGCCCACATGTTTTTCGGTTGGACGCTGCTTTTTGGCATATGAATAAATGATAATCTTTGTGTCTCAACACCTACTGTGAAACACCTCGTAAAATACTTGTGACTAACTAGTCACACCAAATGAAATATAAAATTAAATATATCAAAATCAAATGCAAATATTTTTGCTTTAAATCATTATTTTTGTGCATAAATAATTCTCATTTTAGAAACTTGTTCGCTCTGCAAGACATTCAAATGTTATGGCAATACAAGCTTATCAGATATCAGATAATTTTATCTTATCGTATTTAATTAAAGTGGGCCATAGTGTTAAGTAAATAAAATGCTAATTTACTAAAAGTTGAAGCTGATAAAGTTAATAATGCAATTTTCTGCATTTATTTAATTCGTAATTGAAAACGTGAGGTATTTGGTATGAAAGCCTTTTCATATGTTGTACATGGGATGGAGATACATTTTAGATACAGTATATGTAGTATAACTGTATTTGTTGTATTATTAGTGAAATAGAAACTGAGAAATTCGAATTTACAAATTTTATATTTGGGATCTGCCTTGTTTTCTTTAATCCTGACTTATATTTATACAAAGTAAATAATTAGCTAATTATTAAAAAATTTTATTATTTAACTTGTAAATTTTTTATATAATTTTCAATAAAAAAAATATTTATATGTACATATATTTAAATATTTTATTTTGTAAGTGTATTTTATATTTGAAAATATTTTATATATAAATATAATTTTTAATTTATTATAAATATTTTTAAATTTATTAAGTATATACAGGTATAAATATATATTTTTATTTAATATTTTAAGTATATATATATTTTTATTGAAATACAATTAATATGAAAAAATACACTTACATAAAAAAAATTTTATATATAATATATACAATTTTATTATTTTACTATTTTTTAATATTAAAATTTTATTTATTAAGTTGAGATATCTGTATGTACCTATTTTTCTTTATGGCCTAAAGAACAAAGATATTTGTATAGTTTGTATTTATAGCTCAGAATATTTTTACAATTGCTATTTAGTCGACTTTTAATCAGCAAATTTTATTTGATATATTTTAGCTGTTATTGCCATAAAACTACAAGGTATAATCATAATTAGCTATAAGGTAGAAGGTAGCATATTTATATTTAGCTACTTCAAGAAGCTGCCTATCATTTGATTTGTTCAACATATTCAAACAATTTAAAAAACATTTATTATTACCCATTATATTTCAATTTAAACTATTTATTCAAATAATTATAGCAATTAATTAATATGATTGCCCAAGCTGCTTAAAACTACCCCGATAATTGGGTGTTAGACTAGCAGCTCCGCTCAAGCCAAATAATCCGCATGGCAGAAGCCTGCATTTAGCACTCGTTGATAAACTGAAAGTGTGACGCGAGCCTGGAGGCTGGGCCAAGTGGAACGCTTCATTAGCATCGCTGAGAATTTGCACGGGCTATTTTCCGGCTTTGGGTGGGGTTTTGGGCTCAGCCAGTCGAAGGCTGTGTGCAACAGATAAGCGCCTTGGCTAGGCGGGGCGTGGCATGGCGAGGCGAAAACAGTTTGCTGAATGGGAAACGAGTTAATAATTAATATCAGCCCCCAAAGCATTCAACAGACAATTTTTTCTCCATCTAGCCTAAGGATGCATTAACCTCAAAAAAAAAAAAAAAAAAAAAGGAAGCGAGAAAGAAACTGTCGACTGTGAATAGTTTGAAAGGATGCGCCTAATCGGGATGCGGGGCAGCTTGGCTGGAGCTCTGGTTGCGCGTTGTCATAGGCGTAAATCGGGGCAATGCAAATCGTCGAGCTGTGGTAGCCAGGGCCACGCCAAGGCAGAGTCATATTCATGTGGTTAATTAAAATTCAGCAATTGCGAAAGGCTGCACGGATTAGGCACTGTTCCAGGGATTAGCTCGGCCATTTGGGCTGCCCTCAGTAACAAGGGGTCGGAGTATTTATGTCTTGGTAGTGCCATAAACAAACCCAGAACAGATTATATGCATGGATTCCCACAGTTTTGGCATCTGTTGCACATTGCGCTACGTGAGCGCATTTCCGACTTGGATTGGGCCTCTCTCGTTTCCGCTCTCTCTCTCCCTCTCTCTCGCACTCTTCGGACTGGTGTCAAAGTGATGACAAGGCTGAACGCCCAGACTCCAAGTGTTTGCCAGGTCGCGTGCAGCGATAAATCTCCCTGCTGCCAGCCCTTCGCTCTCTCTCTCTCTCTCTCTCTCTCTCCCAGCCTCTTGCTCTCCTCATGTTGTTTTCGTTTTTTGTTCGTGTTTGTCCAGTACAGTGCAGCTCGGTTATGAATGGCGGCACGTGACCAAAAATATTAATCAGTTGACATGGCATTAACATAAATCATCCGCTACAATTTGGGATTACAGCCATCGCTCGCTTCCTCTACGGCTTTTCCCCATTTTCCACTTGCTCTCGTTGAACAGCCGATTTTTACGGTTTATTGTTTTAATTACAAAGCGTGTCTTCACTGTGTGTTTAGGGCGCATCCAATATATCTAACTATATCAAATTAGATGGTCATAGAAATATGTGTTTGCCGAGAGATTTAACATAAGGAAACTAAGCGTGAAGCTCCAATAAATATAAAAATTCCAATAAATATAAAAATTTTAAAGTTTACCAAGTATTTATATAATATATTAATAAAAAAAACACATCACATAAAAAAATCTTGATCCAGCCTTTAAAAAATTGACTTATTATTTAATTAAATTAAAATTAAATCCTTTTTTTTAAGTCTGATTTATTTATAAATTACTTGCAGCTCTGATACAAAATGAGCTCCATTTACTTTCAATTAAAAATATATATACTTTGAAGTCCTTTCCAGCAATTTTTGCCAATTGAAGGTTTTCACATCCTCCGACTTGCAGTTCATAAACAAATCGGTTGTTTGTCACGTATGCAACAAAGTCGACACAATGGACACTTCACTTGACTTCGCCTCCAATCCTCCTGCCCAGCTCCCATTGGAGTGGGCGGACACATAAGGAAATTGATCCGTATTACTGCACTTTTCAGGGGTAAATGACTTATGAGTGCTTGAGACATTTAAGTCTCCCCACGAAGCATTTTTGTGCCCTCTCTGCAGGGGGCAACGCAGCGCAGCTCATCTCATCTGTCGTCCATGTGTCCAGCGTAAAAAGACATTTTTCAAGCAGCTCGATTATTGGAAAATAAATTGAATTTGTTGGCAACACAATGAGCCCAAACACCTTACAAAAATATCTATTCTCTATACTTATATATATACGAATATACATACACATATATATTTATGTGTAAAATCAATTTGTCGAACAGATATTTAATTTATAACTCTGCCCAGCATCGCCCCTGCTCCTGCTGCTTGCTCCTCCTACTTTATTCCTGTTTCATATTGTATTTCAATCTGTTGATGGTGCAAGCAATTCGAGTCATAAAATCATCTTAGCTGGTCTTATTTTTTATGACACCCGCCTTGAGGGATGATGTCGGTAATAGTCCTGAATAGTGTTTGGGGAGTTCTTATAGTGGGTGCGGGGGTTGACTTCCGAGCTAGGTTAAACACGGCGGGTACCAAATACAATTTCACATTAGTTACAGTTCGCAACGGGTCACTGTGTACGAATTATTTTATTTATATGTATTTGTTTTATGTTTTTTTTAGAGAGAATTTAGAGAGATGAATATTGTGCGTTCTTATAATAAAATATTGCAACTACATTATCATAAAGTACTTGAAGACCATAATATATAATGTGTACAAATTGAAAGTTTTCATATGCATATTTATATATACTAAAATTCGAATTTAAGCGTTTCCTGTAAGTGCTTCAATTAAGTTTTTCTTCTATTTTTTCTAAGTGCTTCTTCTAAGAATTTCGTCTAAGTTTTTCTTCTATTGTTTCCTTTAGGAATTTCGTTTAAGTTTTTCTTATTATTTCCTCCAAGTCTTTAATACGATCACACACTTCACTTCCCTCTACTGCACTGTACGATTGACCCCCACCTGGTCTGGGCGACTGAAGAAATGCTGCAGCAGCAGCCCTTTATATAGGGCGACTTTCACTCAATGCCCAAGTCGCTCTCAAATGTTGAGCCCGGCGCCAGGTAGAGATCGTTGCAGTCGAGCTTTAAATGACCAATGGGAGCACTCTCTGCTGCTGCTAGCATTTGAGCTTCGTTTTACTCAAGTATAAATACGAAGTGACTTAACTTAAATGATTCTCTGTAGTTAGGCAGACAGAGAGAGAGAGAGAGAGAGAGAGAGAGAGAGAGAGAGAGAGAGAGAGAGAGAGAGAGAGAGAGAGAGAGAGAGAGAGAGAGAGAGAGAGAGAGTGAGTGAGAGAGAGAGAGAGAGACAGATGGAGAGGCAGACTGTGAGATAGACAGACAGTCTCTCTCCCTCGACGGATATATAGACAGACACACGAAGAGAAATATAATTTCTGGCTGTTCCATTCCATATTTAATTTCAATTGTTTTAGTATTAATAAATATGCTCGATCACTTTGAAATATGCTAGATCTAGCCTGAAATAGTCTAAACTGTCAACACTGACTTATATGTGCGTACGTATGTGTAAAATATTATTCCCTCGAAGAGTTCAGGAGTTCTCGTTGTCGGGCAGTCTCGACATTATTAAATATAAATTATATTAATATAATTAATAATAAATATAATTATCAATATTCGCATATTAAATCTCTCCAATCGCCTCCATTTCAGGTCTGATTGTGAATGGTTTCGTGAACGTGAACATCTCGACCATCGAGCGACGGTTTGGCCTACGTTCGCGCCAGACTGGTCTGGTGGCCAGTGGCTACGATCTGGCGTCGTTCGTGTGTCTGGTGCCCGTGACGTACTACGGCGGGCGGAAGGGCGCATCGAAGCCGTGCTTCATTGCCATTGGGCTGCTGCTGATGGGACTCGGTTCGTTGATCTTCTCGCTGCCGCACTTTCTGGTCGGTAGCTATCGGGCGACCATAGCCGAGGCGAATCTGTGCGAAAGGGATGGCCAGGCGAATCAGACGATGGTGGGCAAAGGTTTGTGGTGGGGGCTGGACAAATAGCACTAAATGCGATGCCTCTTGCAGCTGGGATGCGGCGCTGGCTTGGAAGAGGAGGCAGTTGAGCTGGAGCTGGGCGAGAGTTTGACTTGGACGGTTTGGCTGTTCTTTGCGGCGCAACTTTTGCATGGAGCCGGCGCCTCGCCGCTCTTTACGCTGGGCGTAACCTATCTGGATGAGAATGTATCCACAAAGATGTCATCTGTTTACTTGGGTAAGTTTAACTGTCGCATTGATAAGACATTTCTGGGCAAACTTTGAGACGGCTGCTCCTGCTGCTCCTGCTGCTCCTGCTGCTGCTGCGAAGTCTGTCTGCTCAAATAAGCAAAATGCTAGCTCCTTGCGGGCATATCAAAGGATCTATTAGTTCCACGCACACACTCACACACACATGCATATTTATTTTTATTTGCTATATTGCCAAACGATGCCAGCTACAAAGGGAAGTGAATATGCTATTTACTATTTGCACCCCAGACCCAGGAATACCCCCTCGATCCAATGCTTGCACAACTGCGTCTGCCTTCCGCCTCCTCCCTCTCGCCTATTGACCTAATTTTAAAGCTGAGTCAGGCGCAATTTGGCGGGGCCCGGACCTGATGTCAGCCAAGGGCCCAGGACACGCGCTAAGCTTGAAGACAGCCGGCGAAATTTATTGCCTCTTAGTTAAGTTTATCGTGGCTCCCATCCGACAGCATTCGGAATTATCAAAGCCCGTCCAGCTACGACGAGTCGTCGTCGTCTGCGCCTGTTGAAACAATTGAAATTCGTTTTTCGGGGGATTTTCCCAATACTTCTTTTTCGTATTTTCATTTATTTATTTGTTGCTCCGCCTGCAGCAGCAGCAGGAGCAGCATTCGAAAAGGATAAACACTTTCAGCCAAGTTATTAAATTCGCAGTTTCCTTTGCCTGCGCTCTGCCCTGCCCTGCCCTGCCCCTTCCCTGTCCCCCTTGGCTTATATCGTGACACTTGTGTCTTCTCTGCCTTTTGGCCATTGTCATGCAAATTAAGATGCAGCCAAATGATAGGACATGCATCGACTTATTGCCAAAACATTCAGCCAGCCAGACAGCCAGCCCTCCTGTTCATCCTCCTGCCAGCCAGGAGGCAACCTTCTATGGCGCAACGCCTGACAAAATAATTGATGCCAAACCCAAACACATAGAGACAAAACTAAGAAAATATTTCATTTACTTGACAAAATCTAAGCGACCCATACAAATTTTCTTTTTTTTCAAATTAATTAGTGTAACAATTTTTACTATATTATTTAAATTAATTTAAAAAAAGAACATTAATTTGATTTTTAAAAATTTTCTATACTTTGCTATTTTTTATTTTTATTTAATTTATTTTGTTATTTTTGAGTTTTTCTTCATTTTTTCTTGTGTTTGCATTTTATTATTTAAAAAAAAAAAATGTATTATTTATTATTTATTTTTATATTTGTTGTTGCACATAGACTTATTTTTATTCTTTTATTTAATTACGTATTCATTTTTTTATTAATTAATTACAACAAATATTTAAGTCTCATATTAATAATAATAATTTTTTGTAATTATTATTTTTACTATTAATTACTATTTTTACTATTAATAATTATTTAGGCAAAATTGGTATATTTACCAAATTAAAAATATTTTGTATTCATTATTTTATTTAATTACGTATGTTTTTTAAATTCAATTTTTAGAATGAATTTTTAAAATTTGTTCAAGTGTTTGTGCTCTTTAGGCAGGTGCTAATTTCCCATAAGAGTTTCTTTAGGGCATCCAATTATCGGTTCAATGCTGCAGTAAAGCTCTCTATTTGGAACATATTAATTCGTATATTTAATTAAAAATAAAAAAAAAATAATGATGATGATGAGCTCTTGATATTCGCAGGTATTTACTACACGATGGCCATAATTGGTCCGGCAATTGGCTACGTTCTGGGCGGCCAATTGCTGCTCATTTATACGGATTTCGTTACCGTGGATGCAGCTGAGTAAGTAGATATATATTGTATGTATATATGGCTTTGATAGTGCTTAAGTAACTGATAAATCCGCGATGATTGTTATTAATCGCGCAGCCCACTTGAAGCCTGCAGAGGGCAACGGCAAATGCCAGCGAATGGCTTTAATGGCGGCTCCTGTGGGGCAGTCAGTGTGGTTCAGTGGCTGATTTGTTGCCCGGGCAACGGCAACGGCAACGGCAACGGCAGCCGCATCAGTAAATGCCACAAACACAAAGCACGCCGTACCGTTACCATCTCCGGAGACTAATAAAACAACATTTCGTGCTGACAACGAGGCAAATAAGGTGCGAATGCGAATGCGAATCCAAGGGCGCGTGGGAGGGGGAATGGGAGCTGGCTGTGGGTGTTGGGTATGAGGCGGTTGTTTGATTCACCAAGCACTGGAGTCGTGGCGTTGCATTGCTCGGATAAGCCGCACGGCTTATTGTCAAGGTGATGCCATAAGTCATACGGAACTTGGAACTTGGATCTGGATGCTGGGCGCTTGGTGTTTGGTGTTTGCTGTTTGGGGTTTGGTATTTGGTGTAGGTGAATCTCGTTTGCCACTTTTACGCTCGGCGAGCTACTAAATTATTGTGAAGGTATACAAAAATGCAGTCAATGTGACTTGGAAGGTAGTGCAGGACTAAGAGATACCTTGTGCATGCCATGACTCTGCAGCATTCTTGTTTTGGTTTAATAGTAGAATTTAGAAATTAATTTTGTAGAGTATTGCCTGCTAAATGTGGTGTTTCTATTTAGTTTATATCTACAAGAACAAAAATGTTCGAATTGCTACAACCTTAATATGTATGTATGTGTATTGTCAATGTGCTGTATATCGATAGATTGTACATGTATGGATAGTCAGCAGTCTGAAGCGTAGAAGAGCTAGAGTCAGAGTGCAGCCTCTGTCTTTAGCTCTGCCATCAGCTCTGCCTCTACTCAGCCCTACTTTCAGCTCTGGCTTGAGCTCTGTTATTAGCTCTGCCTTTAGCTCTGCCTCCAGCTCTGCTTTCAGCGCTGTCTCTGCTCCTTCCGCTCCGCCACTAGCTCTGCTTTCAGCTCTGGCTTCTGTTCAGCCATTAGCTCTGCCTCAAGCTCTGCCTCAATCTCTGCCTCTTTGTTTGCCTTTACATTTGCTCTCTAGATCCACAGCCTCTGCATCTATCTGTCACATGCATCCATCTGCAAGCAATATGCCCCATTCATTCATATTTCCACAAGTTACAGGGTATACAAAAAATGCTTGTTTATGTTTGCGACAACAATTTTTTGGCTTATAAATATAAATGTAAATATAAATTATGGACAATTTATGTGAGGAATATATCTATACATATACAATATACATATAATACTTATATATGGGGTAAGAACATAATGAACTATGGGTAATAAATTGTTTTTGAATTAAAGCGAGTGGAACTTGCAAGAATTCTTAAAGAAATCCAACTAATAATAATTACTTTTTTTTTATTATTTTAATAATTTGCATATTTACTTTGTATTTCTATAGCTTGAGCCTGACGAGCGATAGCAAGGTGTGGATCGGTGCCTGGTGGATTGGCTTTGTGTTTGCGGCCGTGGTCTGTGTGCTCATCGCCATACCGATCTTTGGCTATCCGAAGTCTCTGCCTGGCGCTGAGAAGCTGCAGCTGGCCAAGGTCTCGGAGGCGCACACAAAGAAAACGGCCCAGGCCAAGGCGGCTGGGGCGGAGGTGGGGCAAGTGACGGGTAAGGCGGAGACGGAGCCACGCCGACGCTTCGGCGAGCTGCCACACGCAGTGTTGACGCTGTTCAGGAATCCCACGTTCTTCTTCCTCAACTTGGCGGGCGCCACGGAGGGTCTGGTCATAGCGGGCTTTGCCGCGTTTCTGCCCAAGCAAATCGAGAATCAATTTGGTATTTCGCCCGTGATCTCGGCCCTGGTGATGGGGCTCATCACGGTGCCCGCTGGCGGGGGCGGCACCTTCCTGGGCGGCTACCTGGTGAAGAAGCTGAACCTGGCCTGTGGCGGCATCATCAAGATGTGCCTGCTGGCCACGCTGGTGGCCACCGTGTTCACCAGCTGCTTCCTGGTCACCTGCCCCAATGCGGCATTTGCGGGCGTCACTGCGGCCTACGACGACAAGCAGATGGGGCTGCCCCTGACCCTGGAGGCGAGCTGCAATGCCAACTGCGGCTGCAGTCGCAGCAATTATGATCCCATCTGTGGGGCCAATGGCGTCATGTACTACAGTCCCTGCTTCGCGGGCTGCGGCCAGGAGGAGCAGCAGGAGACCTTGAAGAGCTACAGCAACTGCAGCTGCATTGACCAAAGTGCCGAGGCGACCAATGTCATGTGCGAGTCCAGCTGCAAGAGTTTGCCCTACTTTGTGGCGCTCTGCTTTGTGCTGATGCTCTTCACCTTCCTGGCCACGATGCCGGCACTCTCCGCCACGCTGAGGTGGGTTGATTGATAAGTTGACTAGTTGGAAATATATATTATCCATTTCTCTATCTCTCGCAGATGCGTGCAGGATGAGCAGCGTTCGTTTGCCTTGGGTCTGCAATGGATCAAGGTTCGCTTGATGGGCACCATTCCAGCTCCGCTAATCTTTGGCGCACTCATTGACGAATCCTGTGTGCTCTGGCACGAGTCCTGCGATGCTCAAGCAGGCGGCGCTTGTCTGGTCTACGATAATTTCTACATAAGTCGGTTAGTAGGGATATAATATAGATACCTATAGACTGCGTAGATTAACTTCTTTTAATCTGTTTCTCTTCCAGTTACATGTGGCTCCTCGCTTTGGTGGGCAAACTCTGCTCCGTTTTGTTCTTCTTAGGCGCCTGGTGGTTCTATAAGCCTCCTAGCGAGCCTTCAAATGCCAAAAAAGAAAACCAATCAGAAATTTAATCTTAAGAAAACAAATTATCGCTAGTAAGCTAAGTAATTCACTGCCATTTTTCAACTTCACTTTTTAATAATTCATTGAAAATCAAAAATAATACAAAATTAAAAATTAATAACCTCAGCTCTAAAAATTGTACTGGTCTCATTAACATTTATAAGCGCTATTAATGTCTATTTTAATCAACATCATGAAATAAGTATTACATAAGGAAATCATGTATTTTAATATTAAAAATGTATTATAATAGAGTTTTCATAGTATTCAAATTCAAATTCTTTAACATTTTCCGCCCAACTTAACATTAACTGCAGTTAAGTCAGCTGTGAAAGCATTTTGCGCCACATGAAGTTGGCTGCTCATGGTTAACAGCGCTGTTAAAAGCCTGCCATCTGGTCGTGTTATGCTTGGCACATCGTCTGGCAGCACTGGTCGCATTGTTATTTAATTTGTTGTTGGATTTCATACGGTACGGTTGTGTTTCGCGCTGTTTTTACTATTCATAAATATGCCAACTTGACGCATTTACTGTGTTTTTAAAACAACAAAAAACAGCACGCGGAGCATTGAATGTATATACAAGAGTGGCAGCTATTAAGGTGTTTGGACATTTTATAATTTATAAAATTCAATAATAATCATAGAAATTGGATTGATTTTGCGTGTGCATTTTCGTGCGTTTGTGTGTGTAGGCGAATGTGCATTTGCTAAAAAAAAAAAAAACAAACAGAAATCATGTGTAATTAAAAGGTCAATCACCCAATAACAGCAACAAAACAATAATAACAACTATTAATTACAATGAAAAGCCAATGTAACAATTATAATTAATAATCATATTTAAGCAGCGAGCAAAAGCAAAGAAAGTGGTAAACTGCACGAATAACGGAATCCAATTTAGTTAAAAATCCCTACGCACACGCACACACATACAGTGATGCAACTGCAAGCCAAACAAAGTATTTACATATGAGCGTGTGTGTGCAGATGTGTGAAACCATTGAGAAAGCAACCATAAAAGAGAGGTGCAAAATAATAACAAATGCAATGAGTGCAAGTGTTTTGCATAATGCACAATAAATACAGCAAAATCAGCTGAAAATCCAATAGAAACACAAATATGAATATTGAATATGAAATTATATATCAATGCCAGGTGATTTTGTACTTTTAATCCACTTACCACTACAAGCTTGCAATTTGTGAGTGTGTGCCACTACATCAACACAAGCGCATACATGTACACACACATATAAACACTTAGAGACATGTCTCGTCTTTTCTTTCTCTTCTTGGCTTCTTTGGTCTTGTCTGTCCCGAAGCCCCGTCGCTGCCCAGTCATATGTTGTCGCCCCTCACACCTACTCGCCCCCCTTGCACAGCTTCAAGTTTTATACCAAGACTTGTTTTGTCTGTACGTATGTAGGTTTGTATGTTTGTTTGTGCAAGAGCAAGTGTGTCGATGTGTGTGTGTGTTTGTGTGTGTATGTTTGCAGGCGCACTTGTTACAGATTCGATTCGAGTTTTCTCGCAGCTCTCCCACAACGCAAAGGTTTTCTTTGTTGTCGCTGGCTTGTGACTGGTCTTATTATATATATTCTTCTTCTTCTTCAAACCGCTGTTGGTCTAGGGTGTCAAATTGGAGCCATTTGCTCATCTGTATCTGATAATCGATTTAGTGCTGCTACTTCAATTTTTCTTTAGTCTTTGCCTCATTAATTTCACACTTCAGTTTTTTTCTGGTTTTCTTGCAGCTATTGACCACATTTTCTAATTAAATTTACAAAACACGTTTGCAATGCTTTTAAAAAACGACTCTATTGTTGGTATATAAAATATTATATGTATTATGAAATCATCTGCTTTGGATTTATAGCTGTTGTTAATTGAAAATTTCTATTTGATTTAACAATTCGTAAAAATGGTGGAAGCTGTGAAGGCGACACTATAAAATTATATGGAGCCTTTAGGCCTTATTTTTAGATTTTTAGTGTACGTGATTATTGAGTCAATAAATATTGAAATTGCTGAATATTTTAAAATGTATATTTCGATCGAAATTGAAAAGAATTCTCAATTGCTTGCCAATTGTTTAAATGTACTAGCATATACTATGAGATATCGTTTGGTTCTACATTCTTTATAGCTTCACTACATTTCTAAGTTTAGTTCACGCCAAGTACCTTGGCCATTAAACAATTTTACATAATTATAAGCTGCTGAAATGCAAAATATTTTATTGACATATGAGCAGTCTAATACATAAACCCACAAATTTGTATATGCATAAAAATACATACCTTTAAGTGCTAAAAATGCCTCATAATAGCGAACAATTCGCATCATTTAGCTCGTTTTAATGAACATTTATGAGAGTCTTGTGAAAAATGTTTTTTTTTTTTTTTTTTTAAATATATTTTTAAAAGTTAGCTTAGGGAGCCAAAAACAGTTAGTAAATGCTAGCTTTTAGGTCTGCTTAATTATAGCTATAAAAATAATATTTTAATATAATATTAAACTCGTGTTAATTATTTTATTTGTCCTTTTTCTGGAGGTTCATCAATCTGTAGATATGTATAGTTTTAAATTTAAAAATGTCTGTCATAAAGTAGTTTGTAAATTTAAATATTCATTACGAATCAGGCAAATACCGTTTATATATTGATTCATTTAAAGGAACAAACAATAAATAAATGTTTGATATTTTGAAAGCTCGCCTAAGCCAAAAATAATTCCCTTTTTGTAAAACGGGGGCTCCACTTTCACTATTGACTTAAATGAGAGATAGCCACCACGAATAAGTCCAAATATTATGTTTCTTTGAATTTTTTTGTCACCCTTGGAATTCCATTTTGAGATTGTATACCTAAATGGTTAGGACTGCAAAATTCGATTTTCACTTTTTACAAATTCAAAAATAATATAATAAAATAAAAGTTAAGGAAACTGAGACTGATTTAGATCATATATATTTCTGTATCATTTTAGATTATCTACATATATTCATTTTTTATATGATATAATCTCTAATTTCTAATCTTATACCTCATTCAGTTCGTATATCTTTTCTATTTCTTATCGCGTTATACACGCTTATCTTGCATAAAGTACATAAAAAAAGACAGATCGTAAAGCCCAACTTAAAATCATATTATATTGCGGAAACTTTTTAAAGTAGCTCAAATCGTTTTATGCCCAGTTAATATTTTGTTTTAGATTCGTCTCACCATTTTAGCCACATTCATTTGACTTTTAAGTAGTATGATTCAATACACAGACAAGCATACGAACAAATATTTACATATATATATATTTTTTTCCACTTTCGTTCCGCAACGAGTTCTTGAGTTTGGTCATGGCAAAAGTTATAGCGGGTTACTTGTCCGTTTTTTTTTTTTTTTGTTGTTTTTTATTTTCTGCCGTTTTGTTGAGCTAAGCCAGTTGACCAAGTCGTTCGACAAACAGCAATCAGATCAGGCGACAAAGAGAAAACTGGTTTTTTGACACTCAGCAAGTTGGTGCTACGAACAGAGAGACTTGTTCCCTAAGCAGTGGGCTGAATCATCAGTTGGCATATGCTGGATTTATAAATGTACATGCTCGACTATTAGATAAATTAATGAAATTAATGTCATGCGAAAGCGTGAGCAGAGTTTTTAATATATTTAGAATTTGTTTACACATATTTTGATTGTTCCATATTTACCAATAAACCAAACGAATTTAATTTCTAGAAACATTCAGCTTAAATAATAATTCTGTTGAATAATTGAAAGAGCTTCAAGAGAAAAAACTAATTATTTTTTGTTTATGTATAATTTTTATGGGTTAAAAAATGTTTATATATTGCTCATAAAAGAAACATTTTCAGTTGTATTTATTTGATTGAATTTAACAGAGCTTGTCAGTTGATAACGTAGGGTAAAACTTCTAAATAAATAAATGCCAATATTCTACTATTCATATTAATAATTGAAAGTGTCTGTTATGTTTGAAGGGTTTTTACTCATATCAAGCACATGGACTACATAATACAAATAAAGACTACTTATGATTTCATATGCTAAGCTCTATCAAACAGTCTAGCTTAATGTAAACATGCATACATGATACTTACATACACATATACATATGGATATGTCTGTGTATGTGTGTTTATATTGAATTGTGGCCCAATATTCATGCAGCTGTTCGCATTTTCATGCGGTTGGCTGCCTTTAAGATGCCCCTACCTCCCTCTGTCTTGCCCTGACTCTGGCACGCACACACACAGTCTTGGAAATATGTACTACTCTTTTGCTCTCTTGCTGCTTTGCTTTTGCTGTTCCAGTTCTCCACGTGTGTTTGGCTAAGCTTGCAATTAGCCATTGTGGCGGCAACGGCAACGGCAACGGCATCGGTGACGGCAGCGGCGACGGCGGGAGACCTGTTGGGTTCGCTAGTCAAATAAATAAGCAAAGTAAAAACGAAAAAATCAACAACAACAAAGAAGAAGAAGAAGAAGCACTTTGCACGTAACAGAAATGCAAAAATCAACATAATCAACACAATTCGTAGATCTAACGGTGTTTGTGTATCTCATTGGTACCATTAAGAAAACTCAAACCGGTTCCGTTTCGTTTGGTCGGTTCATTCGCTCATTTGCTCACTCGTTCCGTCGTTCCGTCGCTCGTTCGCTCGACTTGCTCATTGAACCGAGTCTCTCTCACTCAAGGAGCGTGTGTTTGTGCGCGCGAATCGCATTTGGCATGATCTAAACAATTCTTTTGATATATGTATATATGAGTAAAATAATATATATAGCCTTTGAAGAAATGCAATAAATTAAAATCAACATTTCTTTTCAGAAAAATAAAAATAAACAAATCTAAATTTTTTGTATGCCAAAATAGCAAACATTTTTTGTTTACAAATTATAAAAAAAGAAATTAAAAAAAATAACAAAATTAAAACAAAGAAATTCATCTGAAAAGTTTAAGTGAAATTTTTGCTGCAGCTGCCAATGATCACAGAGATCAGGGATATTCAACTACACATATATATTGCCTAAAATCATAGGTAAAATATGGCATAAAAGGTGAGTGACAATGCACAATTCTTTATTTTGGTGTTACATGAGTTACACGAATATAGCTAACTTCTAGAAGTTTCTAGATATAGATCTCTAAAGGGTTGATAAATTAAAAGATTTACTTTGAAAATTTATGTTCAGAAATTGATATACACATAATATCTTTTTTAAGGGCATATAAGAAAAATATTCGCATAAAAACGTCTATTCTTTTGATACAGTATATGCAGCTTTGTTTCAGCCTGTGGGAGTTTAGTTTCAGCCTTTGCTTTAAAGCTAAATTTCAGTTAACTGAAGCTAAGCCTCAGCATGACTTTCTTTATGTTTCGACACTCTCTTCATATTTTTAATTTCCAGACTTAAACCAGCTTATTGACCTTAGTGTCACCTGCAGCTGAAACCTTGTTTACTTACCTAAAAAAAAAAAAAAAAAAATCACTTGTGCTACTTTAAACTATGTCATTTCTGTCCTATGCCCATGAAAGTTTTCGGTTAGCTTGTTAGTTATTTGTTTACATTATTTTATTT